TTTTGGATACACCGAAGCAAAGAAAATTTGAAGAAAATCGAAGAAGGAGTTAAATTAAAATAATTTACAACCCAATGTTAAACGAGACGGTGGGTCGATAATAGCGTGATGTTGCATGATAGCTTTCTGAGTGGGCAATCTTGTCCTTATCGATAAAATCCTGAACACTATTACATATCAAACTATTTTACAAGTAAATCTGCAAAGAAATGTAATAAAATCTAGGCCTTGAAAACGATTATTATTTTCAATAAATTTTTCAACATTATCCAGGAGCACTTTATACCTTATTGTAGATCATCTGTTACTATACATTGTACATATACATATAAGTATTGCGCGCGACGAAGTAACTATAGATTAACTGATTAAATCTTTAGTGTGGAAACATATGGGTGCCCTATCTATAATAAAGACTGCAAGATTCAAGGTGACAAAATGACTTTAACAATCGATTTTTTTCAAGACATACCATATTATCTAAGTGCTGTTTCATGTACGTACAACCAACGAAGCAAAATCCACACTATTACCAATGCAATAAAAAGCACTAGACGCACTTCGATTTTCAATTGATAGAACGTGCATCATCAATTACATTTTTCCAACAGGATGTATAATAAAGTTCTTTGTTGCATCTTTGTATAAATCAGACGAAGCTGGGTTACATTTGTTCCATTCGTTTTCGAGAAATGAAAGTAAAAACCTTTGTCTTGATGCAGTCTTTGTCGCTGTTAGTGTCAATGTGTCTGGTTTATGATACACTCTATTTCTTGACACACATACTTGATTATAGTAATATATGTATAGATATTAGGAATCATGAGGTTACGGGAGAATAACTCTAGTACAATTAATCTATTATATATGTATATTGTCTTTTATTATACGTTCTCTACGAGATCTTTATGCTGACTAATTATAAGCTGAATAACTTATAGCCTCAACGATACACCCACCGAATTAAGATTAAAAAATGCGTCGTTATTCGCCTTAGCGACCATCTTTTATCTGAATCCTTAATGAACACTTGGTTTCTAGAACCTATGGCTATGCATACAGGAAGTGAAAATTTATACCTCGAAGTTTGATTTTTGTATCAAACTTATTTCGTATAAAAGTTGTAATTTCCAATATCAGTCTAAACGCTGTAACATTTAGATATATATAAATTATGTCATAACACAAATCATAGACATAAATTAATTGGCAGTGTAATCGTGGGGGAGTGAACGTATTTGGATCATAGAGTAATAATGACAAGAATTCATTTTTATGGCCCTCGAGTGATTTTCATCCCCTTCATTTACCCGTCATCCCCACTTTTCTTCTTATTTGACGCAATCTCCGCGTATCGAACGAAACGCTGTTATACGGTCTGCGCATGCGCGACGAGCAACGTCGAAGCTGAGCGCGATCGCGACAATGTGCCTGCCGGCTAGTACTCATTCCGGAGATCGCAGAGCGACAGGTTACTTGACGATCCTGACAGTAGCGTATGCGAAACCGGCTACCAATCGAATATTTCGTTTCGTCACGTGCCGATTTCTAACGCGTTCTTCTAATTTCCCGCCAATGGCGATTCCGAAATTCACTAGAGTGCATCGCACACACGTTTCAAGAACGCTGCATTGCGCAAACGACAGTGGGGATTGAATGAATTATTTAAATTCGTACCAGGACTATAGTATACGTTCGTGCCGCAAATCCATGTTTCGTGTTTGGCTGAAAACTTCGTGACAGCGGTAGCTTGCAATGGATTTATATACTCCTTTTCCAAGAACTCGAAGCATTCTTTGCTTTGGTCCAGATTTCGACTAAGTGGATGTAAACATAGAGTGTACTACAATCGTTTTTGTATTTCGATAAAAAGATATTAATGATCGATCACTTGCTCTACGCTCGATTTACTTAATGTGTGCAACTAATAGCACATGGAATTGAACTTTAGAAATAAACAGTTGGTGCGGATTTTTATAGTGTGTCCGCCGCAAATTAATTTACTAATATCATATCCTTGAGACCAAATACGTATAAATTTATTTGTAACTCGTAGTTAAGAGTCGTATATCTAAATGTTTGGAGTAGTGGATCAGGAAAAACCAGGGTGATACGAATATAGACTGATTTTTCGAATAAAGTGTGTTTGTCGGAATGTTTCTGGGAGTTTATAAGTTCCGTGAACTTAATTCAAGCTACTTAGGTAACGTCTTTAAGCGTAAGCATCATAAACATCACAGACAGATTAAAACTGATTTAACCGAGGCATAAAACCAATGAAGAGAGCTCGACTTTAAAATTAACGTCAACAGCATCTGAAACTATACGTACATAATTGTTATTTTCTGGGCAAATGGAAATATCAGAAGTTTCTTTAGAAAATTTCAAACGTCTACCAATATGAAGTCCTGTTTCATTAACTCATCCTTTTTTTTATTCAAATTACTTGCTAATTAGCAATCAGTATTTTCTATTGTAAAATATTATATAATATTGTTGCGATAAAAACGAACCGTTCCGGATCGTTTGTATATACATGTATTTATCGAGGAATAGACACAAAATTCGATACTAAAAAACGACATTAATGAGTTTAAGCAAAAGAACTCTGGATCGAGGTAGTCTCGGCCTCTTTACAGTAGCAGAATATAGAAAAGAACAGTAAGTGAAAGAGAGAAAAAAAAGGACTGTGGCGGCAAAGCACCGCACACGCGTCACCGACTTATATTTTCTCGTCTTGTTCCAATCGAAAACCGTTTCGACACTTCTTGTGGTAGAACTTTCAAAACGGAACTAATATGGCTAGTACACATAATAATAAATATCGGATTACATATTATAACATTTAAGTATATCGAATTATTTTATCGACAGTCTTGTAGAAATAACAATATATTTACCTGTTGCTAAGGTTTTAGTCGTGTTCTCAGTGAGATATTTTTTTAAATCTCGAAAAACTATTTAATTGTTATAATGTAAAAGAAAACATTGCCCGTTTTTACACGTTTTGGAGATTCTGGTTCTTATGAGATTCTGGTATTATGGTTCTTGTGAATTCACAAAATCCGATTCAAATCGTTGCAAAAAGATCGAAAATTGTATAATTTGTAAAATTCAACCGAAGGTGAACCAAAAGTTGATTGAAAATTTACTTTGAAATAAACTAATACGTTCGATGTAATATAATGGCGTCGTCGATGTACGGGATATCGAGGGGCGCGAAGAGGCGATCGGTTGTGTCCGGAAGATCTGTTACCACGAGTGGAAATGCGGATGTTGAAAACGAAAACGGACTCGTGACGAGTCGAAATTACGAAGAGGGTCGTGACTCCGGACTGTCTTCCGAAAGTTCAACGCCGACGACCGGATCGCCGGTACCAAGGCAACGAAAAACTTCCAGCAATCCGATTAATATCGCCAACTCTACTTCGATACCACGCGCCACCGCCTATACTGGAAGGTATATTGAAGAGCAGAAGAGAATGCCCCTGGATGGAATTCAGATTTAGCGATGAAAATTTTGGAAAAAGGTTTATACCAATATTGATCAGCATTTTCGTATCGCATAGACTAACGACTAATAGGCATTACTACCGTGAAAACGCAGTTTATGGGCGACAAGACGGATTTTTCGTATTGTGAACATCACTCAGGGACATTCTTTACAGCTACGTGCAGTCGTTTCGTACCTTTGGAACCTTAAATAATTACTTATGGGAATTAGCTTGTCCATTGGTCGATATTTCTATAAGAACATCACTATTTTGAATAGAAAAAGTTCAAATACAAGTTTGGAAATGATTAAAGTATACTAAAAAGTAAAAAAAAAAAAAACAATATTAAAAACGAAAAAACTGATTTATTTTTAATGTAAACGAATGTAAACGTTGTAATATGGATTTTACTTAATCCGTATTTTACTGCGTTTTCAAGCTTCTTATTGCTTCTATAGTGCTTATCACTTAAGTATATTGCTTTTGATAGAATTCTCCATGAATTTGAAATAAACAGCAAATTTTGTTGTAAACGATTTTTGTGTCTTCGTATCGTTATCTATTGCTACGTTATTATAAAAATTTGATTATTTCTTACTTTCTAATAATTAAGGATTGTAAATTTACCGGTAATTCGATAAAACTTTGAATAAAAATCGGTTTATCTGTAATTTACTGACATTTCCAAGATATTGAAAATATAAGAATATACACATTCCATTTAAGAAAATGAAGTTAACCTTCATATACTCTTTACGCGTTCATTTAAGAAGAGGTTACTCGCATCAGATTATATGGTCTCCGAAACTATTCAATTTTTATCTCAAACAATTTTTGATATCATCAATAATTTCGAAAATATTTAAGTAAGTTTATTTATAACGACATAATTTATGTCGTTACAATATTTTCACATGTGCAGCATCTATTGCAACTATAATTTGTCTACAAACGGTTTGTACTTCTTTCAGATTTTTTAAAGGTAAGGAATTTTTCTAGAAGGTACATCGTTCATACATTTATCACAAAACTTTAATTTCGTTTCTAAGGTTATAGAAAATAATCTGCCTAATTTTATATAAAACAATTTTAACAATTTTATTTTATTGTTAAATGCTGGAAAATTATGATCTTGTAATGTGTATTACAATATAATACTATAGGTATATCAATGCGTAAACTGGTTTGTAAGTAATATTGCACGTCGTATGCTGTGTATAGTAATTAAGTCTATATCTGTAATGGAATGAAAACCGAAGTATAACTCATAAACAATTAGAAGATAAAATTTATTTTTTAATGATTTTCAGCATATTATACACATTTTAACAACGATATTCAACGTCAGTCAAAATGTCTTCATTATATAACGGATACAATAATCCGTAGTTTCTGCCTTGATAAATAAGTAACGTTTTAATTAATTTCGATCCCATGTCATGTTTTATTCAAATTAAAATAATGCGTTCTACAGTTAAAACAGCGCTGTTACCTTTCTTGTTTCAGAAATGAGTGTGATAAAACGGCAAAGGTATGGCGAAGTAGATCTGTGACGGATTCACCACGTTCCTTAGATGGCACACGAAATCGCCAATTTTCGAGTCCTTTGAGAACATCGAGAAACGTAAGTAATAGTCAAATGTACGAAATAAATTTCTCGAAATGGTTACCCGATGCTTTACATATTTGCATTAGGTCCAGTCACCAAGCATCGACTCTGGAGATGAGAGAAGTCTTCGAGTCGATCGCGATACGTATCAGCATATGTTTCAAGACATTGTTTCCATAAAAACAATGCTCTTGAAACTTAAACGAGTACTCCAGGAGGTACGTTAGGCGAATTATTCTCGTGTCATTTCGATGGTGCACCACGTTTATAATTAAATGTTTTGTTTATTGTAAAACGCATCCTTCTTTTTTATATCGCACAAGTATGGTGTGCTTCTCTATTAACACGCAATTTTTAATTATTTTTCATTATTATCATCAACCATGATTTTCCCTTCAAGTCAGAAGAGAACGGTTTGACGAGGGTACGTTCATTTATGTTTTCTTTTATTATAAACATTATTTTTATATTCGTGTCTTTTTATATTATGTTTCTTATTATTGTTATCGCTGTTAGTGTAATAAATATTGTTAGCTTATTGTTACTAAAATGATTTAATTATATTATAATTATACTGTATAATATCGAATCGTGTATAATATGTTGCGTTATACCCACAGGCAGAAACTCTCAACCCATTCGATAATTCCATAAAGGTCAGTAGTTTACTTACAAAACAATTAGTATACAATAACAATTTTACATTTGAGGTGGTTACATTTGAGAACTTGTGTTTATTAACGATCATCATAATTCTGAAATTGTTAAAGAGTCAGAATCGTTACCATCAATGTTAACGAGGGTCTGCAAATTTATCAAATTTTCCAAATTTTAGAATGGTCTCTTCTATAACCTGAACGAGGGAGGTACCGCTGATGTTAGTACCTCACCAGGCAGCGGAGGTAGCAGTATTGCGGACGAATTGGCCGATTTGCGAAGGCAGGTTGTCTTTTTACAAGGTCAAGTGGAAGATAGAGATCGAACTATACAAGTATTACAGGTAAAATATTTTATATGAATTGAATTATACAGGGTGTTCGGTCACCCCTGGGAAAAATTTTAATGGGAAATTCTAGAGGCCAAAATAAGACGAAAATCAAAAATATCAATTTGTTCATTGAGGCTTCGCTAAAAAGTTATTAAAAAATTAAGTTAAAAAATTTCAAATCGTTCTAAAAAAATTATTTGCAATTGCGGGGATCAATTACAATCATTTTTCGTCAATAGAGATACCCCCGAAATCATAGCCACTTTCTAGAAAAAAATTCGAGAAGGTATGAAGTTCGACAAAATTAAAAAATTTCAAATCGTTCTAAAAAAATTATTTTCGGTTACGGGGGTCAATTACAATCATTTTTGGTCAATAGACATACCCCCGAAATCCTAACCATTTTCAAGAAAAAAATTCCTTACCGAAAATATAATTTCGGGCCAGAAATGTCAGCTCGAATTTTCATGCGAATCTTTAAAATATTATAACTGCTGAACGAATTGAAGGATTTTAATGTTTCAAAATGCAAATAACGCGTATTTTTGTGAAGAATATGTAGAAATTCTGACAATATTGAAAAAGTTATTCCTTGACTCCGTAAAGTGAGAAAAACCCCATGAAAATGGTCCAATTTTCAAACAACCATAACTCCTACAATAGTGAATATATTTCAACGAAACATTTTTCTGGCGTAGAGCGCATGAGTACCCACAAAAAAGTATTAAATAACTTTTCCATACTGCGTCAACCAAAGTAATTATAAATGAAAAACGAATTTTTAAGAAAAATCGACAGGGGGGAGTGCCTAAATTTTTCGACGAAAAAAAAAATTTCAAATCGTTCTGGAAAAATTATTTTCGGTTGGGGGGGTCAATTACAATCATTTTTGGTAATAGACATATTCTTGAAATCTGTTGTGAAATATACAGATGGGTGGTTTAATAAAAGCACACTTTTATTAATATGAGTGTCCCGTAAATAGTGTAAGAACCGAAAATCTGGGGTAGCTGAGACGATTCTGAACAACAATTTCCTTTACAAAAATGTCGGGTTTCCGAGTAAAAAATTCAGTACAGGCGGAACTTTAAACGTTAATAACTTTTTAACGAAGCCTCCATCAACAAATTGGTATCTTTGACTTTCGTCCTATTTTGGCTTCTAAAATCTCCCATTACAATTTTTCCTAAGAGTGGCCAAACGCCTTGTATATTTTGGAATCCTTACAAGAAATTCATTCACTTAATTTTATACATACATATAATTCTTGAGATAACGTTTATTTACGTGTACTAAAAGTTTCCGTTTGTGTGCGTAATACATAGTCATAGAATTATTCTCGTGAGCAAATATTTTGCACCTTATTACCCAATAACTAAGTTCAACAATTCTTCAGATACAATTTAAAAAAAATTGCGAAATAAAGAATTTTATATTTTACAGTTCCAAATGTCAAAGCTTCAAGGATCTAACGGTGTCGACGGCCAAAGTTGTGCTTTAACCAATAATCGTAACACTATTCCATCCGTGAATACGTACAATGCTGCTACACAAACAGAGAGGGTATGTTCTTTTTTTTTACTTACAATTCATAATACCACCAAAATTTAGTAAATAGACGTTATCATTTACTTCTTTGCATCTTACAGATGGTTATTTTTGTTCTAAAATTGTTTCTAACATGAATCACATAACAATTACTAGTTTCGCTTTGTGCCAAAAAAAATACACGTAGCAACGTTATAGGGATTTAATATGTATAACATTCTTAAAAGTAATACTATTAGGCGCTTTGGCTCAATACTTCATAGTGATACCAATCTTCGCAATTTTATTCGTAGAACGCATATAGTTACACGTTCCTTTTTAATAAGAGTTCTTGCACTTTCGTTTTTGAGTTGCACACATTTCATACATCCTGTCTAAAAGAACTTCTTTATTATCACGATTTCATTGGGAATCGTGTTTACCTACATCTGAAATTTAACTTTATAAGTATATGACGGTATAATTTTGTTATCACTATCGATATCGTTGAACAACTGCGCATTAAATATCGTACAACTCGGCTATACACAAATTAATACACTGTAATCAATTTGAATATATCTTGTATGATATTTTATATTCTTAAGATATAAAATTAATAACCCAAACCGTAAGTAATAATGTACAGAATATTTTACGTATGTTTTACAAGCTATTTTTACCAAAACAATGTGAGATATAAATTTACACTGCTTTTAACACTTTATGGTTTGATGATACCCCATTCACCTAATACAATCGATGTAATGTTCAGTTCATCGATTACATTTACACATTCATTTAATGGACGCCTACATATAGGTACCTTTTCTTTTTCATCTGTATGTACTAATTCGTACATTGCACTTTTTCTTAACCCTTATAGAATGAATAATTAAATGTGTTTGATACATTTAACACAATAAATGTCTTTAATATATTTATTTTCTTTTTTTATAATATGTGTTTCTTATTGTTATTTTAACGATATATTCAATTTATTCTTGTTGCAAATATTAATATAACAAATACTATATTAATGCAGTTTTTATTATTAAAAACCTTATAGTTGTTATCGGTATTAGTTCTCATTGATAATATGACGTTAACTTACTATTTGTCATATAATTTATTTTTATATTGTTTATTTATTATTGTTTAATTATGGGTACAGACACGTCCAGTGTCAGCAGGACCTTCACTCTTACAAACACTCCCACAGGATGGTGTTATGGGGCCTCTAGTTAGGTGAGCTTTTTTACATGATCTTACTTGTAGCTCCATTCAAATTGTATAATGTTACCTTTAAGAGTATAAAAAACTAAGAAACTCAATTTCCAGAAAAATCTTAGGAAACACTTTTAGAATAATTTATGGGAAATAAACATGCATTTTAACGAAAAAAATAAGAAATAACAGTAGTCTGTACATGTAAAATTATTACAATATAACATTCATACTATTTACATCTGAATTAGTAAGAGCTAAGACAACATTACAAAACAAAATCCTAAGATTTTTCTTTAAAAAATCTCTTTATTTAGTCGATTTGATAATATATAGCTTGCATAATGTTAACGAGAGTCCTAAAATTAAAATAATAACGTTGATAAATCTATGAAACAGAATAAAAAATTATTCTCGATTTATATAAAAATATTCACATAAAACTTTGCAGTATATCTTGAAAATCATTTCAACCATAAACACCTAATATTCTAGAATTTGTTTATAGTCATCGGCCCCAACATTTTTAGTCCATTCTTGTTTAAAAATTGCTCATTCAGATCGTGACCTTACCTTATAAGTGTATTCGCAGCAGTTGTAAACTCACAAATATGTGTTTGGTGTTCGATTATGAAATTTGTCATAAATAACCTGTTGTTCTTGCTGCTCTGGTCATTTATCTTTCTCTGGTGATCCCATGTGAAACAGCTTCAGGATCGGGAAGGTAGAGTCCGTCAGTTTGTGTGACTTACTATTGGGATATTTACTCCTTTCTGCATTAAACGCCTTTATATTCATGCATCTTTTTTATATCAAGATCACTTGTTTAATCATTTGATATTATTGTATTTTATTCCTTTTGCATGCGAAAATAGTATACCTTTTGCTTTTAGTTTTCTTTCATACTGAATTATTAAATTATTTTAACCGCTTACGAATGTATATAAACATTAAAATATTGTTGTAGTAAGTTCAGTGATACAATATCGTTTAACATTATATCCAGGGTTTGTGACCGAATCTTGCATTATTAACTTGAAGATTTTAATATTTACATCGTTTTTAATTATTATTTGAATGTTGCTGTACACTCAGAACTATAAAATTTCATTTTAAGTACATACATCGTTGCATAGTAACGAATATTTTATTTTTACAACTATTTTGCATATAACGTTTCAACCGTCAATAATTCTGCAATTATTACAACAAAACTGAGAGAAAAAGAAATTATTATTGACAATAATATGAAATCTAATAAAGTCTAATATACAGGGTGTTCAGCCACACCTAGGAAACATTTTAATAGGAGATTCTGGAGGGCAAAATAAGACGAAAATCAAGAATATCAATTTGTTGATCGAGGCTTCGTTAAAAAGTTATTAACGTTTAAAGTTCCGCCTGTAGAACGGCAATCTGTGAACAGCTGCGTGCGCGCAATAGTGGTTATCACTCATTGTCAACATGAGAAACTTTACGACTATCACGCGTATGGCGTTTTGGTCTCTAGAATCGCCTATTAAAATTTTTCCCAGGGATGGCCGAATACCCTGTATGTAGTTTGTAAGTCTTTACAAATGTATATTAATTAAAATTAGAATTTAAATAGTTAACAATCAACAATGTTTATATTTATGATATTAAAAAAACATGGTGTCATATTTGTTAATATTTAATGAGAAACATAAAATAATAATGAAACGCACTTTCATATTTTACAATACAAAATAAATATATGATGCCATGCAATCACTTACAAAGAAAGGAATATTGTTTTAAACATTATTTATATTGAAACGATGCGTTGTACATTTGAAAATTATTTTGTAAAATGCTGTTTTGTAAATTCACTAACACTTGGAAACAAACATGCTTTATCTTTCCAAAGTAAAATTTCTTTCAACAACAATCTAGATTCGATTGTAAGCCCTAATACAATTATATTAACTAACAAAGTTTAATATTTCAACAGTTCAACATACAACTTTAATGGTTCTAGCAGTCTGACATACTGTATAAGATGCGGATTTTGCTTTAAAAGTGTTTTTGTGAAATTCTAACTTTCTTGGCATACTAATACTCCTAGCATGTAATATAAATAGATAAATGTATGATCAGTTAAAAAATATAAATTAAACATTTTTTTCCTGAAATACTGTTTTGAGATTATAATGTTTTTACAATTAATAATGTTTCATGCTGCACTTGATAGCCATGTGCGGTAAGTTCACTACTAATATTATATACTTTCAAATACTTTAATAAATCTAATATACTTTTTATTACTATCTCACTTATTGCTCATCAAAGATTTCTACATTGTACATCTTTCATTACACAGTAATAAATGTAAAATTAATATCAGGGCCGTTCCTATATTCGTTGTCGCTCGGGTGCATGCTACCGTCAACATATTTTGGGAGTGTTTTGAGATGCGGGGATACCTTTTGTACCGCCAGGAACGAACCTGATTGATATAATGAAAATTGTATAAATATTTTATAAAATATTATTCAGAAACATAACATTCCAAATATGTACAGTGGCTCACAGTGAAAATCGTCCACCGTGGTTAAGTATACATATATCAATCTTTATAAAAGTCTAAATACGAGTAAAAAATATGTATATGTTGTGAATAGCGAACTATTTTGTTTTTATTATCACGTAATATGTATAGCCCAAAAATACAAATTTTTGTAAAATAATAATTATTCATAAAAATCGTCCATCTAGTTATAAACCAAAAACTTAAACACTAATTATAAAAAGTTTTATTTCTAATATTTGGTTGGGTTTCCTTTACTGTTCTCTACTTCTCTAAGCCTATTATTAATCGATTTAATTAATTTTTCAGTATATTCAGAAGAAATATTATTCCATTCCATTTTCAACGCTTCTTTTAATTGTTCATTGTTTGTTATGAAATGTTGCCAAATTTTGGTGTCTAATTTGTACAATATATGCTCAATAACATTTAAATCCAGCGACTGGTGTGGTGTTTCAATTACCTTTGAGCAATTATAGAGTAACCATTTCCGAACGATTGCAGACTTATGCTTAGGGTCGTTGTCCTGATAAAAATGGAATGTATTCAAAATTCCTAGTTTTTCGGCACTTTTTTTCAAATTCTTCCTTAAAATATCCAAGTACATCCATCTGTCCATATTTCCCTCAATAAAATGTAATGTACCGACACGGTTGGCTGGCTGCCATGCAACCCCAAACCATGACAGAACCGCCGCCTTTTTTAACTGTGGGGCTGGATATTCTTTACATTTAATTCTGTGTTCGGTTTCCTCCAGACTGTGTCAGTCCCACCTGAACCGTCTGCAAAAAGAACGTTTTTCCAAAACAAAAAGCCTTGATTACTGTACTTCCGAGCGAATTCAATTCTTTTAAGTTTATTCTTTGCACCGATGAACGGCTTTCTTCTTGCTACTCGACCATGATAATTATTTTTCCGTAGTATTCTACGAATATTTTCTGGGCGCACCTTTTTATTTAAATGTATTTGAACATCTGCAGCTATTTCTGAGGCACTTTTCCTGGGATTTTTCTTAATTTGTCGCAAAACATATCGCTCATCACGATCGTTTAAAATCTTTTTCTTATTTTTTTTTAATTTGTTTGATATACGGCTTTCACTTTTATATCTTTTAAGAATGTATTCTACTGTAATACGACTTCTGTTTATAATTCGTGCAATTTCACGTTGAGATTTACCTTCATTATAATGGAAAATTACTAATTTTCGTATCTCCATTGTTGTTTGTTTTTTTTGAGATTCCATTTTTCCAAATCGATAAATCAATGAAATAGCGTGATAAAACTATGCTCATCTAATGCTTACTAAGCGAAAAAATGTGAAAAATAGTTGAACACACATATGTTACCCGAATATTATAGATAGACGATTTTCAGTGTGAGTTAAATTTCATAAATGTCATTATATATATTCATTTTGCTTCATATATTTGCTAATATTTGGGTTTCTTTTTATATGGAAACAAGTAACAATAGAGATGAAACATTATTACGTTAATAACAAAAATCTCTTGTTCATATAATGCACGTTTTGGCCAAAATTAAGAAAGCGAATGTGGTGGACGATTTTCACTGTGAGCCGCTGTATATGTATACTTACAAGAATAAAAAGTATTAATAATAAAAGATTGTATCAGAAGTCTGGAAGAATCTCTTCAAGTCCAGATTTGACGTTTTATTTACAGTTGGAGTGATTCTTGGGATCAACATCGCCCTACATTGCTCACAGAGCTTAATGGTAACAGAAGCCTTCGTAAGGTGGCCGACCGTATACCGCGTACAATAAGATCTCGTCAAGAAGAAACCTCGCATCGTCAAAACGGGCATACAGATAAGTTGTTGATAGAAAGCCCTCTGAGCAGAAAAACACTTAAATCGAAAGATTCGAAGTCCTCGGAATCGAACGATATGGAACAACGTGAGATAAAGACAGAAGGGAGTCCCACAAAGTCATGTATCCCAACAGCTAGAAAACTTGCAACATCGACTCTCATACCACGATCAGCGAGGGCCCTAACTTCGACAGGCCGATCGCACAACTTGTAATTATTTATGTAGGTGCGAAGTTAAGTTGAACTTCAGTTTATTTTTCTACAATTTTTTTTTTCGCGGGAATTCTGCACAGACAGCTTGACAAAATCGAATTCTTGCCTTTGATCGGTAGAACGTGATTCGGAATGATCCGCGAACGTAATTTTCTAAATAAAAAATTAACAAACATAAACGAACGATGGAAAATTTCTCTTGCAGTCATTCGATGAGCAACAAAAGAAACACAATATTCTTAATACATATTCGGTACAAATAAATAACAAAAATAATGTACAAATAATGTATGAAGAGTTAAGGACAATTCATAAGTTCCTATCTTTTGAAGTTTATATTCTCGTTTAATTCTTACGCTTCACATAACGAAGGAAATAAAATCATTTTTCAACAGGATCGCTGAATTCGTTTGCATAATAGACTGGAAAAGTTGTATAAATTAATTTTTAATTGTAAATTATTCATCGAGTTTTAGCAGACTGTTTAAAGGTGTACATTTATTATAAATGCACAGTTTTAATTTTAATTTGAAAAATATTTTACATAGTGTTCGCGATACTGTAAAGAATCTCCAATTGTTTTATACAAATTCACTTTTGTTCGTACGTTTTCTTAACACGCTTGCTGCCACGGTAGTCGCTAGTGATTGGTGCTTTCAACTTCCAACGTGTTTCAAAATTGTTTACAATGAAACGTACTCAGCAAAACCGGACTCAGTAGAGAAGCAAACAGAATCGATTAAATAAAAAAAAGAAGCAAGACACACGCAGTGAACAGACATGCCGCTAGAAAATAATAATCATGCGATAAGGAAACTTCTTTTTCCTTTCATGCATATTATAAGAAGAGTACCAATCTGTGATTCCTTCTGTATTAATTTATAGCATTTCTGTATATGCCTGCGTTTTTGAAGATTTTATCTCTTCATCTTCTGTTTCATATGCGACTGTATTTTAAAAATTCGTTTTCAAGAATTCTAAATGTTTTTTTTTTCTTTCAGTTATATCTTGCAACATGTGTGTAAAATATTGATAACAATCTCTAAACACGGAAAACTATCGTGGCAGTCAACGTGTTAACAATCGTCATACGTACGCTATGACCTCGCAATAGATTTTTTGCTCTCTGCTGTACATCGATGACCTGTGTAAGTTGGGCAAAGTTAGGCAAATTTTATTCATGAATAACGAATACAAATTTTAGATTGATACGTAAATTGCCATGTACGTTTCATTCATAAATTCATTAATAAATTAGAATATATTAAAGAATTTTTCAACAGTCAGTTTACGAGCAAACCTGACATTTTTATTTGTTATTCGCGAATATAATTTGCCCAACTCTGCCGACGACCATCGAATCTATCGCAAGGTCCACGGAACAACGGAGAATCGATTGTCGCGCAAGATCTGCATATATGCAAAAAGTTATTCGCCATCCACTGCTACACAATTCGGATTAAAGTCGATCGATAAATATTCCTAATTAAATAAACATATTATCGAATGATTTTCACTGTCGGTGTTCCGTATTTATTATTATTACTTTTACTTTGCGAATATCTTGAAAAGATAATCAACATCTGATCTGACCATTGAGAACAGCAAATACATATTTACATTTACATAAATTCGAAATCGTTTCAAAACCTATATAGAACCTAAAATATGACGATTATACATAGAATGATTTAGTCCGAAATTCAGGTCCTTTATAACAGATATTTAGAGTAAAGGTTTTTCATAACTGTTTCAAGAACCTAAACCTACAGTGAGTCACAGCCAAAATCGTACATCACATATATGTATATGAAAATGTTTCACTCTAAAAAAAAAGTTTAGAAATGATTTGGAAAAAAATAAGGCAGGCATATTATTGTAAATATATCTGTATTTATTGTGTAATAATGACAAAAGAAATGAATATTGCTTAACATAAAAAAACTAAAGTTACTATAATACGGTGCAGAAAACATCTCACAGCTAAAATCGTACATATTAAGAATATTGTTTTATATTTAAATTAAATTAAAAATTAGTACTTTATAGATTTTACTAGATTTTGTGTAAAATTGGATTCAATTTTTCTCCATTCTTCTTGCAATGCCTTTTTTAAATCATTTTTATTAGAAATCGTATGTTTTCTAATCCTTACTTCTAATTCATGTCAAATATTCTCAATTACAGTTAGGTCGGGTGATTGGGGAGGTATATTAATAACTTTTGGGCAGTTATACAGGGTGTGCGGCCAACCCTGGGAAAAATTTTAATGGGGGATTCTAGATACCAAAATAAGACGAAAATCAAGAATACCAATTTGTTGATGGAGGCTTTGTTAAAAAGTTATTAACGTTTAAAGTTCCGCCCGTACTGAATCCCCGCAACCGAAAATAATTTTTCCAGAACGATTTGAAATTTTTGAATTTAATTGTTAATAACTCTTAACGAAATCTCCATCAACAAATTGGTATTCTTGATTTTCGTCTTATTTTGGCCTCTAGAATCCCTCATTAAAATTTTTCCCAGAGGTGTCCGAACACTCTGTATAATTGCCACATTTTGATAATATGCGACGTATGTTTTGGGTCATTATCACTATAAAATTTAAAACAATTCAAAATTCCTAATTTTTCAGTACTACTTTTCAAACTCTTTTTTAAAATATTCAAATAATCAAATTTGTCCATGTTCCCTTCAATAAATTCCAAATTTCCTGTTCCAGTGGCTGATATACATACTCCCCTAAACCATCACTGACCCACCTCCATGTTTAATAGTAGGATTCATATTTTTTATTTTAAATTCTTCATTAGGTTTACGCCATACAGTAACTTTATCATCTGAATGAGAATGATTAAACTTGCTTTCATCGGCAAAAATGACTTCTTTCCAAAAACTAAAATTCTTAGTTAGATACTGTCTCGCAAACTCCAGTCTCTTTTTCTTATTTTTATCACTGACAAATGGTTTATTTCTTGCTGTGCGTCCATGAAAATCTTAGTAATCTTAGTATTCTTTCTTAGTATTCTTCTTCTACTCAGTTTCTGGATTAACATAAATTTGCAAATATTTTTCCACCACGTTCGACAATTTAGATGCACTCAGCTTTGCTGTTCTTAATTTATTTATATTTTTATTTTCTTCTCTATAGCGTTTAATAATGTATTGAGCAGTGTTAATACTTCTACCAATAATTTTTGCAATTTCTCGATAGCTTTTACCATTTTGAAAGTTCTTTACAACAATTTCTCGGACCTCTAGTGTCGTCTGTTTCTTTTCGGGGATTCCTGGAGGGGAATACCAAATAGGAGAATAGCGTACGATTTTAGCTGTGAGATGTTTTCTGCACCGTATTATAGTAACTTTAGTTTTTTTATGTTAAGCAATATTCATTTCTTTTATCATTATTACACAATAAATACAGATATATTTACAATATATGTATGTCTGCTTTATTTTTTTTTCCAAATCATTTCTAAATTTCTTTTTTCGAATGAAACATATTTTGGCTGTGACTCACTGTATATTATAACAGTTTTCAAGTTTTTATTTTAACATATTAATTATTTATTTATACAAGTGTATACTCAAAAATATTTTTAGAATGTAATGTTTTTTAATTTTATAAATCTTGAAGAAGATGGTACAATGTCCCCTCCCTTGGGGATCGTCCCCATAATTCGAATCATGTCGCAGTGGACTACGAATAATTTTTTGCACATACATATATTTTGAGTATCAAACATTTCTTTGCTGGCGATACTAATATCTAGGGTTGTCAGGTGAGCAGACTATATCATCAATGACATAATAGAGGTGGATGATTAATTGTTACATCCTGCTCTTTTATTACCTTTCTATCAAAATTACTTCTTCAATAATATTGTATATAACTATATCATTTATACAAGATTACATGTCTCGGAATTCGAAAATCAACCAGTTGGAAGTCTTGTTCGCTTGACAACTCAGTCAATATCCTATGACCTCGCAACAGAATCAATGATCGCAGCGGGTGTACATAGTATACAATGCACAGGATATAAAAATATACCGTAGAATCTTAACAAGTGCAACCTCGATACTTGCATCAGAATCTCCTTTGTTGAATTGTGTTGATAAGTTAAATGATTGATCACTTAACAACAAATTTGGCCATTAGACTTAAATATATTTTATATAGCGTATTACATTAATAAAATGTATTAAATTTATGTATTACATTCGTAATACAGATATAATACACTATTACAAAACGTTTTTAAGCTATGCATTGTATACTTTTGCAACTGTAGTACTTAATTTAATAAATATAAACTATATCATCTTTATTATTTGCCTTTTGGTTAAAAATATTTCATTATCGATCGCTTTTATAAAATTTGTATTTTTCGTTTAGTTGGAAATATTGCTGGAGAAAATTATCATTTGTTTTTACATGTGTCAGAAAATATCACGAACATTAACTTTATTCAGAAATGTTAGGCATACGAGCTTAATTTTATTATATTATTTGTTATTTAATGTACAAATTTCAGATGATAAGTAATACGTTGTAATTGGTCCTGATTATAATAGTAAAGTAATAGCTATTAAGATCAGAGTATTCTTGTAAATTTCTTTATAATTTATGTTACTCATAATTTATTCCATCGCTGATTTGTAAGATTATATTTGGTGCTATTCAACTTTTTTCATTTCATAATATTTAGATTCTCCTGAATTATCGAATGTGAAAAAATCGTGATTGTAATGTCCATTGGTTGTTTTTAAAGGAAAATTCGAAAAATTGCAGTGTAGTTATATACATACCTTAAAAACGAGACAATAAGCTATAAACGATTGGCATAACAATAAAAAGAAGAAAAGTTAATTTCTGATTTAGTAAAACTAAATCGATATCAGGAGGTACTAAATATCTCATATATTGTATATTCTTTTATTCATATTTTAATTTGTACAATGGTATAATAATAAAGAGAAGGATAATTAAGAGGATAAAACAATTTTTTATATGAAAAAATACAATAACAATATTTAATTTAGTGGGTCTCACCTTCGTAATGTAATACAGGCTAATATGTATGGATGTGTATGTAAGTATGTATGTATGTATGCGTGTATGATGTATGTATGCATGTATAGGAGTGTACCTACTACAGTAGACAAAACCTCTTTAGATTAACAGACTGAATATCAAGTAACAATGCTACTTTGGAAAAAACTGTGGAAAGATATTTAATGATTCTAATTATTAATTCTTCTGTTATAACGGTTTAAGGCAACGTTGTCGCGAATTTTTTACAGTGTACACTTGTCCTAATAATAAGAGTGATTTCATTTTGTGATTGGTAGAAACTTTTTTATTTGCTTTAATTGTTGCTATAAAATGTGAGAGTCAAAGATTGGCGAGTAATGAAAGTCTACAGATTATTTAATCTTTTCAAATACTCTTTATTTTTCCTTTGCTTTAAATTAATATGTTCCATACAAAATTTCAATAGTGATTATATGTTTAAAGAATAGGATATTTCTATGACAAATTTATATTCTTTTACATTATATTTTGATTTCAGCAAAAACTGTCTTTGTTTATCATCATGTATAAACAATTTTCTCTATCATTCTTACTTATTACCATGTGCAGTTTCCTGCTGGAAAAATATAAAATTTGTAAAACTACTTGGGCCGATGTATCTTAACTTATTTTTACCAAAAGATACTTAAATTTCACGTTGGAATTTTATGTAAACACTGAAAAAATACAGTGTAAAAGAGATATCTGTATATTTAATTCTGCTTTTTGAAAATAGGCATACTTGAACACATTGATTCGTGTACTATTTGTAATATTTGTAGAATGTTTTACGAGATCTGGTGCATTTAAAATGCAAACAAATTATTAATCCTATAAATATGAATAACACAACAAGTATGCAAGTACAATATTTCAAGTATATTGTTACCTTCCTTTTATCATAGTTGAGAAAATTTTACCCATGCTTAGCTGTTGTATAAAAACTAACAGCAAATTTTCAGCAGGATGCTCTTTCGTAACTTTATTGTAACAAAAATCCAGTAACTTTAGTTAATTGTTAAGTTACAAAACTGATTGTAAATGAATTTGCACAAAAAACTATATTTGTTTGTTCTAGCTAGCTTTCTCGATTAAACCACTTTTAATTAATGGTTTAATGCTTTTAATGCTTTACTATTGTAATGCTTTAAAACATGCAGTACAATAACTGTACTTGCATTTTTCTAAAAACATCGTTAACTTTAAAAGAAACAAAAAAATATTAGGAAGTGCACAAAACGTTTTTGTGTTCGTTGAACATAATTAAGTTTCAACAAAGTAGCAAACATAAATATATCCAACTTAAGCAATGAATGAAATATAACGAAATGAATATTGTTATAAATGCTGTTGTTCCTTGAACGTGGTAGTACTGCATTTATAAAATGTAAAATCTTCTAGTAATAAGCACCTCTAAATGTTTAATATTAAAAAACATGGCAACCACAAGTCAACCTTGTAAAATCTTAATAAAATACAACTGGAATATCAGTCCTATTTAACATTTACAAAATAACAAATATAAATAAAAGCTTTCACTTGTAATTAAATAGGAACATAGATAATTTATGTCCTGTAATAAATGAACCTTATTTTCATTTGTACATTACATGTATAAATATGTTGCTTCTGTGGCCCTAAATGCGGTAGAATAATAAATGAAGTTATGTTTGAATGAATTGTTATTACTGTCACCTGGCTATTGACATCTTTATTTTTTTCACAGGATTAGATTTATGTAACATTTTAAAAAAAAACTAACGAACTTAAAATTTATTTCAACGTATATTCAACGTATTGCAATTCTCGATTTAAGCTTTGATAAGGTGCAATTGCATTATTTAACTCAAACATTTCCAACAAACATGAGTTTTTTAATAAATGATTATACTCAATCCGCATTTTCGTGTAATAAATATATAAAAAGGTGGAAACAAAAATAACATAAACTGTTTAAACTTTATTTTTTTTTTCTTTTTTGTATATATACTTAAATTTCCAAGTATGTACTGTTTTTCAAGAGAGCAATTTTACAATTTTCATCATTTTTATTTTACGTACATATTCATTGTATTGTATTTGTTATTAGAGCATTAACGACTTGTTGACAAGAATATAATTTTCTAATCATAAACTACAAAAATGATTCTCTACAGTAAATCGTCACATACAAAATAGTATCCTTGGCATTGTGTACTATTTAATAACACAGCACATAAGATTTTCTACGAGTATTCAGTGCAATATGTATTTAAATGAGGGACATCACGAGGACTCATCTTTTTATGTTTTCATTGTATGTAATTATTAATATATAAATCCTTGTAAAATTGATATTAAACAATGTTAACAGAAATCATATTTGTATTTATACAAATGAACTGGTATGTATGTACGTAACGTTTTGTAATTGCTACACTTTATACACATTAATGTATTTACTTGGAATTAAATTGCCTACAGATACTTTGGTGCTGAAATTACTCTTAGGTAACGTTTTCGTAAAAGTATTTACAACAATTACAGAAAATATAGAGTAATATAAAGTTCTAATTTGTATGCAGCACAAAAAAAATAATGCTAACGATATCCCTTAAATTAATTATTACTGTCTACTTTATGATTGGTGTTATGCATATCGCATAAAAGTTTTATTTCATACTGTCTTCTGTGTACAAAACAATAAATACGTTTACAACATAATACAAACACATTGCTATTGTTAAACCTGTTAATCGATTGCTGCTTCGAGAGAAAAGTACCCACGATAAATAAAAATTTATCTAAGGTCACTTAAGGATTAAAAGTATAATGCTTATAATCCATGCGTAGAAGCAACAATGCTAACGTTGTAATTCTAAATACAAACTATTAAAAGAAAAGAACTTTGCATTGTGATACACTATTTTTCTTAATAAATCACAGTTTATTACAGAACGAAATAAAAAATGAAAGAATATTAGATTTCAATGAGTTGATCGATGATTGAATTTATCTAAAAATACAATAAAAATTAGAAAGTGTGTACTGGTCAAATGATGAGAATGTTCAATGTAAACTTATTCCAAGCCTACGATATACACTGGCTATTAATATCTGGCACTTTATAACAGGTTAGAGTCACATTAGGTATTTCAAAGATTTTTAAGAATTTTGTCTATCTGCATAAAACTTGACAAATTTATGTGAAAAATGGCAATATAGTGATCCGTTCTAATATTTGCATTATTCAGTATCACTTATGTATACTAATAAAACGCGTGATCTTTCTTCTAATGTAATATGCAGAGAAACAGGTTTACCACATATTGTCACTGAGTGAAAAAAGTTATAAAACAGGTTTCTTCAGAGTCATTTACTTTCATATGGACAAATTTCATATCCCATTTATCCCTTGTGCTATCACCACTCAGCACGTTTATAGCTTTCTCGTTACTAGTACAATTAGAATTTTATATCGATGCGTTCGTATCTTTTACAATAAATAAAGAATGTAATATCTGTTACTTTTTTTCCTTATCAGTATCCACGACTTCCTTCTTAATCGAGACTTTATTGTCACACTTTTTATCTTTATCTGTTTCTGCAAATTCTCTTTTTACTGCAACCTTATTATCTCCCCACCTGGTATCTGCCTTAAATTTGTTTTCAATTTCTGATCCATTTACTTCGCCAACTTTCTCATCTTGTATTTCTACAATCTCTACTTTCTTTGTGTCAGACTGCATCATTTTTGCTGCTATGTGATACATATTTTTTACTGCAGTGAGGTATGTATGACATTCAGTCTGCAAAGAAAAAGAAAAAAACGAAACACTAATATATTTTGCAAGTTCATTGTGTTTCCTCGAATGAAAGAAACAATACTTACCGATACTTTTTTGAGCTTTTCGTCTGTACTTCTTAATTTGTCTTTGTACATCTTCAAGTCGTCAGAAAGGGCTTTAATGTTATTTGTTTGTTTTGCAGATTTTTCGTTTACTATCGTTAGTTCGTGCTGTAACTCCATCATGCGCTCTTCTGTATCCAATCGAGCCTTTTCCGATCTTTTTAATTGGCTTACAAGTTTTTCCACATCTAATAAAGAACCTTTGTACATGACAAAACCTTCTGATATAATTGGCTCGTCAGACTGTTCCGAGGCTGTATTTTCTCTTCGTGCTCTCTTTGATGGTGGTCCACTTCCAACAAATACGGGTAACAATTTTTTATTTCCTAAAATAAAAATTAGAAAACATTGGTACTGTATTGAAATATTAATAATATTCGAATCGTAAGAATTTGAAAATGTACCAAGTGCTAACGAACGTAGTATTTCTTCTTCGCTCTCTGTCTTGGTAGATTCATCCTTGTCCGTATCTTTCTCATCTTTCTTATCCTCTTTTGGATCATCTTCCTTGGATCTATCTGTTAATTTACGATAATGCAAGGAATCTCTTGTTACTACCTTTTGTACTAATTTACGAACTTGAGCTCTTGATAAATTCAATCCTAAAGTATAAATAAGTTCTTCTATATCTTTGTCGAATATATATCCACAATGAGTTTGATCGAAATAAACAAAAGAAAGTAGAAGGTAAGGATCATGTGTATACAATTTTGTTTTTCTCTTCCTTCCATCCCTTTCTCTATCTTTCCTACCATCTTTAATCGAATCATCATCCTGCAAAGTAAAATCATTATAACAAATGTATACAGAAAATATAAATAGATGCGTGTATCTAGTAACATATCCAAAGATATATCATATTACATCGGATTCGTCTTCTTCATCGTCATCATCGTCATCGTTCTTTTCTTTTTCACGATCCTTATCGTCTGTTTTAATTTTTCCATCCTTCTCGTCCTTTTTATCTTTACTTCCTTCTCGTTTTTTATCATCCTTCCTTTCATCTTTCCTGATACACTTTTTCTCGTCGTCTTTCCTTTTATCATCTTTTTTCTCATCTCTCTTATCATCTTTCTTATCCTTCTTCTTATCTTCATCCTTTTCTTTAGGTTTTTCAGGAAGACTACACAATGATCGATAAATTCGAAAACCGAAATCTCGCATTAACATCTCGTTAAAGAGTTCCGCAAACAATGATACTTCAAAGGAATGTTCCTAAAAACAATGTATTGTTTACGTAACATAATAATTATTTGTTTAATCACGAAAAGTAGGATTCGTCAGAAAGCATCGAGAAATCGTATTCTGATAATTGGATATAAATCTGTAGTACCTTTGTATCTTCTGGCCTATAATCTAAAAGTACACTTAAAGACATAACGGTACAATCGAACTTTCCACTTTTAGCCATTCTGGAAGGATGGACGATTATGTGAGACGATTCCGGTAAAGTATACCGTTTCTCAAGAGCAGCACGTTCACGTTCGCAAAGCTTTCTTCTATCTTCATCATGCTGAATCATTAATTTTGTTATGTTTAAAATATGCATATTTATTTCCAATTTTTAACTTTAATTACTAAAGATTAGTAATAGATAAGGAATATTACATCTTTATTGTCCCTGAATTTTTTATCGTCCTCTTCCTTTGGTGGTGGTGAAATATCTTTTTCATTTTCTTCAATGTCGTCTTGTCTTCCTTCCTCTTTAGCCTGTTCTGAGGTTATCGTCTTCATAAGTCTTGCAAGCAACTGCGATTTCAGGCCTTTACAATTTAAAGTACGAGCAGCTAATTCTTGACGTAGTTCGTTTACCTGTACGAGATTAATAATATATAAGCATGGATAAGTAATAACGAGACATTGGAGTAACCGAAACAATAAAGTACTGACATTCATAGATTTTGGGTCCAGCTCAGAATAATGAGCGGGGTCCTTTTTCTCGGGTACTGGATCATCCTGGAAAGAAAAAATCACACATTATGTCGCAGAAGTAACGAACAGGATAAAAAACTACAAAACAGAAGCAGCCCCTATAACGAAACGAAACCACTCCCTCTTCATTCTTTCAACGCTCTCTATTTTACCACCACTCTCTCACATTGTAATGATATACACGGTTCTTCATTCACGATGACCATCAAGTATGACTCAAGTAACTGCTAGATTCTCATAGTGTCCTGGCTCTGGTGTCTGTGTGGTTGATAGGTTATGGATAATATCAATAATGTTGTATATAACGATTATCAAATGAAACTTTTGAATGATTTATCAATGATGGTGAAGGTTTCAGGAAAGGGAATGGCTCAGCTGCGCTCTTCTCCGAGCTAGGCTTGCTTGCTTCTCTTGTTAATGCAATGTGACTGCCAGTGGCTAAGGGAATACTTGCAATACATTACTCATTGATCATTTTTTATGATAACTGAAATATTTCTTTCGACACTGTAAACATCGTAAAAATATTGCAATTTACGATCTATAATTATTATATCACTTTTATATTACTAGGTATGTGACATTTTATATCGATAACAGTAAATGAGTGAATCGTTAAAAATTTAATACAAATGATTATATATTGCTGCGATGGTACAGTGAAACCTCGACTTAGGAGACTGGTTAGAGGCAAGAACTGTTAGTTAAGTCCAAAGCCTCAAAAGTAATATATATGCAAAACCAAAAGTCCGTTAAATAATAAATTTAGCTACATTCGAACACAGTATATTAAACATTAATATATAAAAATAAATTGTTAACAAATTTTTCTTGGTTTTTTTTTTAAATAATAAAAGACTATGTATTCATTTTATTCAGAAAATAAAATTAAATAAATATCCAAAGACGAGAAAATACTTGAAGTTTGGATCAATGAGCAAGTAGAGCCTATTGAAAATCCAGTTTAGTAATGGGAAAACAGTTGCACGATTATATAATGTAATAAAAAGGTAAAGTAATATGGGATGATGTTGGCAGTGCCTTTTGATCAGCGACGGCAGCCTCATCAGTGTCATTGGCAGCATCCGATTCGTCAGGGTTAGAGGCAGTGCGCAGCAATTTTCGCTCCAGTTGTTTCTTATAGCTGAGTTGCAGGCCATCCCATTCCAATCTGGTAGGTACACAGCTCCAAACATCTGGGAGAAATAGTATGACGGTTTCAACGCGAGACGGCACCACTCGCCCCGACTTGTGGGTCGTTTCTGCACGTCTGTAGTAGAGTTCCAGGAAGCGGTACCTGTGCCGCAAGGAAAAACAATACCCAAACGTCAACTCAGGTTAATCCCGCCTAGCTTTGCCTTATATGCTAAGTGTTCGCTCGTTTGTTCGTAAAGCCCACGCACTGCATACAAAGCCACACACAGCTTATAATGTAGACCATTCGATAAAGCACGACTGAGTGGGTCACAATGACAATACAACAATAGTGATGATTTGTCTGCCACCACTGCTCGTATATCATCATCTTGGTGCTCGATACAGGATCCAGTGCAGCAATTTCCATCAGGTCGATCGTGTTATTGTACAAATACATACCTCCCTTCTCTACACAGATTGAGCTACAACCTTAGTTTATCAAGCCAGAACTCGCATTAGAAGTTACTTTCTCTCACGGATGATACACCTGTCGAATGTTTCTTAATGCTACAACATTGTGTCCCATGCCTTTAACACAGTTGAAGATATATGTTGCCAAAGATAATGCATATCACACATCTATATAATAGGAGAAAGTCCACGCGTTCAAAATTTTCAATATGAGAATAATTCTCAATTTTCGCATTTGAATAGTACCGAAGTAACTTTGACAATGTATTCGACTAGTAATGAAATAAAAACGGGCAGAGAAACTAGATAGCATCACGTTGCTCTTTTAACGAAGTGCTTCGAACACTGTAATTGTATTCTAAAAATAAAAACAAAAAGAAATGTCAATATCTGAAGAATCGTACCACTGAGTGCAGCTGGACAGATCTATCCCCGTAAGTGCTTTACACGTCCTTACTGCTGTCCTGATCAGAACCGATGGATCCTTGTCAGGATTAGGACCATCCAAAGAAGGACTCCATGGCCCACCAATAGCCATTGTTTCATTTTTACCTCGCAAGCCTACCAAGAAATTTATTAATCGCGTGGGATGTACATAATCGCGATCTGGATCTCTATCCTCAGAAACACCACAACACCGTTTATATATTTCTTCCATAGCAGGCATGGATATCAGCATTACCTACAAAATGTGTGTTACTTTAGTCAAATTTTATAAAACATAAATTCGAAGTTTGTACTATTTTAAAAAAGATATCCGTTTACAAGATAATCATCTATCTTAAATAGGAAGAGCAATGTTAAGACGTGTAGAGCATTTTGCATTTAAGAGCGTGTAGCGATATTTATACATACAGAATAAAATGAAAAAATCTTCATATAAAATTAAATAAAAAATTTAGAATTATTAGGTCCGCATTTGTTTCTTGTAAAATAAAAAATAGCTGATTTCAATTTCTAGTACTTAAAGTTAACAAAAGATATTGAAAGGTGTTCCCAACTAAATATCGTGATAAAAGTAATATTCAATTCTTCTCGATGAGCTCATTGCACGAGTATAACAATTGCTGCACATTCGTACATTATAAAATTCTCTATAAGACATTAACATTGTCCATCATTTCATCAACAATTTCAATCACTAGAGATGTAATGTCACAGACCTTCGCTGAGAATAGATAATCAGCATCCGAGGGCTCTAGTATTGCTGTATTTTCGAGACAAGGATCAACGTCCTTATGCATGACATGGAAAGAACATGGTTTATTAAGAGCAAATGGCATATGTGGTGGAAATGCATCAACCCAGCGGAAATTAGTAGAAAAGAAATCACTAGGTATATACATATTTTGATAGCGTCTTCTTATCTCAAGTACATCTGCTTCAGGCCTAAAGTAATAAGTCGCAATAAAATTATGGTACAGAAGAAATATATTATAGATAAACTATACTTACAAATCAAGTGCTATTTTTGGTATTTGTACCATGTAACGTGGTACAACTCTAGTACGTCGTCGTGGTCTTGGAGATTTACTCCTTCTAGTCCTCGATGGACTACGCTCTTCTTTCTTTTCACGTTCTCTAATTCTTTCTTCACGACGCCTCTTCCTTTCAATTTCATCTTCTTCATTTTTTCGTTCTCGAGGAGATCTTTCTCTTACTCTTCCAACTTTGTTGCGATTACTAACTGTATTAGCACTCGTTGCACTAGTTGTAAATCTATATATAATCATATGCTTGCTCCATGAAATGGTTATATTATACGAGAACAACGTTCAAATCTTAATTTCTATGTACATAAAATACCAATAAATATCATTAATATTAGACGCATAAAATAAATGCATATTACTCGCCTATTGTTAGCATTTTCGGCAGGCGGAGGTACAGCATTGTATGTTCCTGAGGTTCGATTTTGTTGCGGCTGTTGTTGTTGCTGCTGTTGACGGGCAGTTTGATTACTTTGCTGTGTATTAGTATTACTATTATTATTTCCCATAGGAAGTACTTGTATTCTGGTAGCACTCCACTTAAATGGCATAGATGGATTATAGGATGCTTCTACAAGCACACGATCGCCGACAACTGGATTCGATCCCTTAACGCATGCACTAAAATAAAAATAATATTACACAACATAAATCCCAAGTTACAAACTTAATATACAAGTTGCATTCATAAAATTCCGCAACATTTTTTATAAATTCGATTTTCACATTTTTACTATGCTTCCAATGCACTTAGCAATCAATATCCTGGAAATTTTCAAATGCACCTTGTATTATATATCTGAATTTTGATTTCATTACTTTGTTTGAAAAAATACATCTTCATCTACGAAACCAAAGTTATCATATACTTGGGTCACTGTGCCAGTAAAAACTCTTTGTTTGGTAGACGATGAGGGTACATTCTGTTGTACTTGCTGTGGTACACCAGCAACAGAAGGTTGAAATGCATTTGTATTTAATGCTCTTGGTGTTGGATATGAAACTGTAGCAACTTGAGGGTACAACTGTCCTGCTATACTCGATGGCAAATTAGATCCAAGTGTTGCCATCGAAGCCATGGTTATATTAGGCTATTTTATAAAATATATATTATTCTATAATACATTACCCTTATATAAGTAAATTCTTAAATTCTTAAATATTATCTATCAAAAATTAAACAATATATTTCTAGCAATCTAGTAGAAAATTACGTATAGTTTAGAGTAATTGATAATATACAAAAAATATGTATGTATATTATATTTATAATATTAAAGTGAAACTAATAAACAAAAATTCTTAAATTATGGAGTAAAATGATTAATATATAAGAGAAAAAAAATTAATATAAAACTGAAATTGAAAATGGATAATACATTAGGACATTTATTTATCATTGTAAATATGTACTATATTTTTTCTTTATTCTATTACTAATCGTTCATTTTTATTACTGACCTGTTGTAATCCCAAACTTTGTTGATAAACCTGTTGAGTTTGTTGCTGATATTGAACCATAGGTTGTCCACCTATACTACCCATCGCCTGACCTAACATTTGTTGTTGAATATTTTGGATTCCTTGACCTACATAGAAATACAAATAAAATGTGTATTAAATACATGTTTAACTGTTAATATCAATACGAGTATATACATATATATTACATAAATTATATTACAAATCAATTGCATAATATGCGATATTGGTTAATTATTTCATCGCATATAATATATTTTATGAATATTTTAGAACTATATTGATGTATAATAGACTCCACATTTTTGCCTCAAAAAATTGTACGACTACAAAAACTAGAAAAAATGAAAATACACATGTGTATTATTTTCTTGTTAATTTGTACCCAACGATTCAGCTTTTAATTAAATTCATATGTGAACTTTACGAATACACAAATAATAATGTTTACTGTGAAAAGAAGGGAAAATTTGTTTCTTTGAACAATTGTAATTACAAATAAACACTAACAATTTTTAATGCTTCCTTCCCTTTATAAAACATATCCAAGGTCATTACTGTTGAATAGAAACAACAAATTATTTTTTAATACTTCGATATTGTACAAAGCATCGTTAAAAACCCATTTTATAAATACATTCTATTGGCTTGTGTAAAATATAACAGAAATTTGGCAACGTTATTGTCTTGCACACGGGACGACAACAAGATACATTAATAACAAAATCCATTTACCTGCATTGCGAACCCATGGTGGGTTTTTACCACCTCCAAATGGTGATAGATTACTCATTTTCTTAGAAGTACGTAAAATTATTAATATTACGAGTTTAATAAGATCTTGCACACTCTTAATTGAGCGTCTTTCATTCGGGCGCCATCTTTTCAGCTGCAACTACTGAAATCAAATATTGCCCTTTGCAGGAAGTGAATTAAATTTTAAATTTCGAATGAAATGTCTCTTCTAAAACGTTTTACGATATTGATACTGTCTTAAATTCACCCAACAATTAATTTTATTAATATATTATTAATGTACTGCGAATGGATACTTAAATAATTGTAAACAGTATGAAATAAGAATTTAATTTGATTGTATTGTACAATATATGTCACAGAAGTATAGAATAATTCATTCCGTGATGGTTGAGACGTGGTAGATACGCTGGAAAAAATGCGATTTCTAAATAGTATATAATAATTAAATTATTTTATTTTCAAGTTTGAACAAATATAAAAATATTATTTTATTTACATTGTTGTGAAAATGAAAGTTCGATTTTACTTGAATTAATTTATTTAAATTATATATCAGACCTGGATACTAATTGAAATATGTAGATGTTTTGGAATTACTATTCTAAATATTAAATGCTAAAGTTAATGCCAATATAGTCATATGTCAAGTATAATATGGAAATTTGAGAAATTAAATATTTGTATTTAATTTGACATTCATTTATCGAACATTATATTTTAAATGTTTTTGATCATACTCTGGTTTTAAATAATGTACGTTTTTTAAACATCAGTACCTGTATTTCCATACATTTAAATCTATATATGTATGTAGCTACATAAAAAACAAATCTAAATATGAAATAGCGGTCGATTATTTAAGTGTATTTCATGTAACAATATCAACGTGAAAAGGGAATAGTACATATACATGTATATGTGTATTTTATTCGTTGAAAGAGCTATCGCAATGGTGGTAATCGAACGTCATGTCCGGCGTAAATGCACAATGAAATTGAACAGAATCGTGATTGGTCCACGATTAAGATTATCAAGATCCAAGGCAATGCATGACATAACATCCTTTGGTTATGTTAAATGAGTTTCATTGGTATAATTGTACGTTTCATTTATAATATGAATTAAAATAAAATTTTGGTAGTTGTAATAGTATTCAAAGAAAAATATTGAAGACAGGTGGTTTGAATAGAGCAGTTTCACAAATGTTGCGCCTATTGTCCGCAAAATATAATTAATTTTTTATTTGTGGGAAAACATGTTATTTAAATTATCTATATATGTGCACAAGCGTGAGCATGTACACTTTTCTAAATAGTATAAATATTTAATCGTAGATAATTTATTATAATATGACTACGAATAAAAATAAAAGATTGTCAACCGAAGAAGAATTACGTCACACAACAAATTTTTGTTACTGTAGTAAAGCTTAGGGCGCTATGATATAAACCTATTTGAAAACTCCATAAATTCTACGGAAGTGTATAAAATTTATTGCGTTAAACAAACAAATGACGAAAATATAAAAGTATTGCAACTAGAAATAAATTTATAGATATAATTTACACGATTCTCTAGTTTTATAGTTTTATCTTTATCGTAAATTTTTTTACAATATAATTTACGTGCTTAGTTTATTCGGGAGAGTTAGGAACACGGCACGCGATTGGTTGTTTCGTACGAGCTCAGAAAATGTGCACTGGATTGGTCAGAAGTAGGAAGCACGTTTGTTCATTCAATAACCGTCGATGGGAAACTGAAAATCACCATTGCGTTACATAATAATCATACAAAATAAATTGATTCTCTTAAAAATATAATAGAGAATATATTACAGGGTAGGAAAAAAGATTGAGTCGATTGAGATTGATCTCAAAGGTAAGAATATTTGAACATGGCGTTGAAATTGATCCGCCGGCTGTCAATTGATTCGACCTTCAGCCATTTGAGCCATTTGGGAGCCACCGCCCGCCCGAGACGATCGTCTTTTGCATTGCTCGTACGAACATTCGCCGCTGTTGCCGAGAAAATGGGTTTGCCACGTGTTTTCTTCGATATGAATGCGAACGACAAGCCTGTGGGTCGAATCGTGATGGAGGTGAGCAAGTTTCTTCCCAATTAAGGGGTTTTTCATTTCTTAAACATATTGTCGCTACGATCCCGGCATGACTGGCCATCTTGGATTTTCTTGGAAGCCGGTTGTGCTATTCGATTTTCGACTTGAATTTTTCATAGAACCATTTAATATACATTTTTTTAAATTATTACGGTACGCGTTAAAAATAAGGTATTTTTCTTGCATAAAGATTTAGGTTTAGCAAAAACACGCGGTCTTATAGTTTGTATTATGTTACCAACGCACTTGAATTCCTACTCGATCATAAAATTTTCCATTCACCGATTGATGCTGACATGTTTGATTACGCATCCTCTACAGGTGAAAATTCAAGATGTAAATTACAACATATAACTTTTTATCATTTACTCTGATAATTTCGAGTACCATATTTAAGTGTAATAATATAATATATTTTTTTTCGATTGAAAATAGTAAATAAAAAAAAAATTATATATATATATATGAAATTTGTGAACAAGATAGGGATTGTAGTGGAGAAAAAATTATTTCTAGTTAGGATTGGAAAATTAATTATTGTACGCTAGAAGTTTAGTTATTGATAATGTGCATATGTATATATATATTGTTATATAAATAGTAAATTTATCTGCTTCAATAAGCATATTAAGTCCACATGATGTGGCTTAAAAGATTCATTATTTAGATTATATTATTATATTTTATTAAATTACACGATGTTATTTATCATCGCTAATTAAAATCAGAATAAAACAATTTTAAACGTAAAATTCATTTACACGATTCTTGTAATTTCCATCAAGGTCAATTTATAAGTATTTCTGGACAGATTTTTGGACACTTTTTTAAAAATTTGTTTCATTTCTGGATAACTGTTTGTTTTAACCATATTTTCATTGCTACAAATTATTCCAAATATTTCGGAATTTTAGAAGTTAAAAGCATAAAAGAATATAATAATACTTTTTGAATATTCAACTAATATTATGTCATTTTTGAAGTCCTTACGGTACATTTAAAATATTATCTTAATCTTTACATTTACCATGTCAAAATATATTCTGGTTTAGATATATTTTAAATAAATTATTTCGAGTAAGAATCAAAATAATTTATATTATAATTATAATTTAAGTTTATAGTGTGTTACGTAATGTTATTTTGTTTATATTATAATGGATTAATAGAAAACATATTTATTAGTTGATATTTGAAAATTTATCTTTCATTTTGCGTTACATTAGGTCAGCAATATAATTGACATACATTAACACTAGATTTACAGGCACTGATCGCACATACATCTATTGATACCTTTTATGTTAACGATTACCTTAAAATATGATTTTTCTTTTAATTAGATTATGTATTCATGCCATTGCATTAATCAAATTCAACATAAGTTGTTAAAAAATAATATTTACGCGTTAAATTGATGGCTTCTGTAAATCTAGTGTTAAAAACTACTTTATGTATTGTAACTTTTTTAGAATATATTCATTTAACTTTCAGTTAAGAAGCGATGTTGTCCCAAAGACCTCCGAAAATTTCCGTGCCCTTTGTACTGGTGACAGGGGCTTTGGCTACAAAGGAAGTAGCTTCCACAGAGTGATTCCAACTTTTATGTGCCAAGGTGGCGATTTCACCAATCATAATGGCACTGGTGGAAAATCTATTTATGGTCAAAGATTTGACGATGAAAACTTTGTATTGAAGCACACCGAACCTGGTATTCTTTCTATGGCAAACGCTGGTCCAAATACTAATGGTAGCCAGTTTTTCATTACCAGTGGCAAGACTAGTTGGCTCGATGGCAAACATGTTGTATTTGGAAAGGTTGTTGAAGGAATGGATGTATTTAGAAAAGTATGTAATTGCCTTCTTTATATCTTATTTTTTATTTGCTTTTTTTTATCATAAAAAAAAAGATAAAATTTTATTATAAATTAATTTTGAAATTTTCCAATGATAATAATTAACGTTTTAGAGTAATTGAAAATATTAGTAAATTCGTGTAATACATATTTGTCATAATTAAAATTCAATATTTGTTTTATTTTTGCTATAGTTGGAGGCAATGGGATCTGAAAGCGGGAAGACTTCAAAGAAGATTGTGATAGCTGACTGTGGAGAACTGTAGATCGTTCAACTAGATACTGTAATAACTGCATTTTTATTTAGCTGTTGCGCATACAACTGTTGCTGTCTTTATTATATGATACATTCATTCCAGTCGTCATCTTTTGTCTTCAATGCTATCAATTTAATTCTCTACGTAAAGAAGTATACTTTATCAAGTTGAAACAACAAATCACTTGCATTATGCTATTTTTTATTATAAATAATTGACGTTTAAGTACACTGTGAGCTAGAATTTATTACCATCTTTTTCCAGAAATAATTGTTCAATTTCATTTTTATTCTTATCTCTAATAAGCAGCACACATCTTGTATACTAAAATGGAATATGAGACAGTTAAAAAAATGTTAGATCTTCATTCTTCCATATAATACTCCTCTTTTAATGGTATTAAGTGGTATGGCACATTAGAATGTACATATATGAAAAGTGCATTTCATAAAATAATTGTTTGTGTGTATACTATTCAAATTTCAATATCTGTTAAGAATAAAATTAACAAGCATTTAAATTTCTAAAGTCCACGAGTAGTGAGTGTTACATAATTATTGTACAATGCGATTCCTCTGCAAAGTTACAATATTTTATCTTATTGTGTAGATTTTATCTTTCTTTTATATGTAGATCCATGAAAAGTATGCTCATATAATCTTGAACATTTTATGTGTATACACCTTTTTCCCCTCAGGACAGAATGATTGATAACATGCGTTTGATTAATCGGAATTGTAATGTCAGGTAATGCCTCTAGATTATAATTCTATCTTACACTGATGTAACACCAACGTTGAACGAAGGATGTAGTTGCAACGGATTTCTATAAAATAAAATTGTTTTCAGAAGCATTGTTGTGATTTTCTAGCGCTTACACTGATAAATGCAAAAATTTTGGGATTCAAGCTTTGCACTTACCCAATGAAAATATTGATTCATATCTTCTATCTTTTGTCGAACGTGGAAGAGGATGGCAAACGAAGAAAAGAGATGGTCGAGAGTAAGGTGATTTAAAAAATATATCGTCGAAACAATATTAATGCAAAGATGGAACTTTTTTATTTCTTTTTTTTTTTTAAGTGAATTTTACCAACGTATTTGAAGTTTTCTGATTAAAATAAGACCAAATACGATATTATTCGTATGGCATTTAATTATACATATATGTATAATACATAATAAAAAAATTATTTCTCATTATTGGAGTATAGTATTGTCAAACACATTATAAGTGAAACTAATACTGAGATAAAAATACAGGAGCCCTTAGATAAAACAATAATATGAATATTCTAATCAGTGCTGGTTTGACCTTAGGTCAAATAGTGATTGTGAACTAAAATATTATTTTATAGGCTTCTCCTTGGTGTAAACATGATTCAGTTTATCCAAATGTTTTGTATACGAAAGATGGTTAAACGCATGAGAAATATTTTTAAATCTCTTTAGTTAGACAAATAGTAATAATTTATTCCAAAAATCGCCTAACATAGACGTCACCGAATAAGAATGCCACTGTAAAGAACGAGTTTTGGGTAGGTATGTAAAGAAGACCATCTGGGAAAAATATCTTTTTAAGAAAATAAGTTTATCATAAATTAATTTTTTTTTTTTTATGTAAATACATATTAATATTTTTTCTTTCGTTACTTGTGCTGGTAGAAGGTTGTAAATTTGTAATCGTGACGCTAATTGTTTAAAATTCAATTCGTATTCAGTAATTGCCCACTGTATTAATTGCGTTATGTCGATTTGTTAATTGTGAACGATTCAACAAATTGTGTAAGTATACTGGAGCCGCAGTAAGGGTCTAGAAGAGCCGTAGTTTTATCACCATTAGCATATAATCTTACGAGCGTTTCGCGTAATTACTTATCTCTGAAATCTGTTTTCACTGTGAAATGGTCGAGATTGTTTACTAAATTTACTGATAGATCCGATTTCTTGGTTAATAACTCAAGCTCTTCATCGATTGCTAAGTAATGGAACTCATCCTTCGTCGTGGATTTCCAACTAGTCTTGATAACGTTATCGTCGGATGGAGTTGGATTTCTATATTACAAACAGTGGATAAATTATAGCGTATTATAGTAAAAATATTCAATTGAACTGGTACAAATTGGAAAATGAGATCAAAGAGGGGAAGTAAGTTTAAGGAAGAATCAAGGAGATTGCAAGACCATATTAAAAGAATATTATTAGGAAAGGAGTGGATAATCAAGTTGGAAAGAAAAGGCAAGGTAAAAGTGCAATGGAAGAGAACAATTAATACCAAAGAGAGAGGCAATATAGAATAAAGACAGAATTGTTTTCTATGGTTGGTTTAGCAATAGGTAGCTTTATAGAGATTATTTTGAGTATATGTAATTAACTATAAGTTATAAGTTAGTAATATTAATTTTAATTTGAATGTTAATGTTAACAGAATTTATGTGTTTTATGTTAAAGGTAGAGTGTGGAAACGGAACTTACCCTGTTTTAGCAAAGTTGGTCCACAACGTGGTTAGACGTTCAATTATAATTCTGTCTGTTGTGCCACTTGCAGGCGGTTCAGGGTTTTCGGCTTTGCAAAGAGGCGAGTAAAACAAATATGCCAGTTCGTCCATGTGAGATGCTCCTAAACGTTTTTTTATAATGTTATTTATGTTTTAATTTCTAAATACGTATCGTGTTCGCCTCACGAGGCCAAATCAAAGCTTTCGAGTAAGGTTGCAAAACTGTTATGATATCAGTTCTGGTTTCGGTTCTAATTTTCTACTAATATCGGTTTTGTACTGATTCCATATCGGAACTTATCTAACGTTGACAAATTTTAACTACAGTAGAATGTTGATTATCAGACCTTTGACTATCTAAACGACCGATCATTGTAACAAAATGGAATGTGTAAATACTTTGAAATCAAGATTTAAAAAATGATTTAACGTATTGAAGAAACGTTAGCAAATCTAAAATAACTTTTTCGTGGAGTATTGGGAAAAACGTAGCTTTTAGCTCCCTCCCTTAACTCATTTGCATCATTTTGATACGTGTATTTCATTCACATTGTAAATGCAGTGCGTATCATAAATATACCAACCCGTCTATATTTAAATATTTTGAAAGATTAGAAAAAGATTATGATGATGCGGCACTTCAGAATAATATACAGTGTTCGGCCACCCCTGGGAAAAATTTTAATGGAAGATTCTAGAGACCAAAATATGTCGAAAATCAAGAATATCAATTTCTTGACTGAGGCTTCATTAAAAAGTTATTAAAAAATTAAATTAAAAAATTAAATTAGACTTCAAATCATTCTGAAAAAATTATTTTTGGTCGCGGGGCTCAATTACAACCATTTTTTGTGAATATACATACCTCTGAAATCCTACCCACTTTTGAGAAAAAAATTATATTTAGTTATAGGGGTCAATTACAAGCATTTTTGGTGAATAGACATATCCCGAAATCCTACGCAGTTTCGAAAAAAAAATTTCTAAACGATGTCTGACCAGAACAGAAATGATTCTCCGAAATTTCATGCGAATCTTTAAAATGTCATAACTCCAGAACCGATTGGAGGATTCTAATTTTTCAAAATGCAAACAACGCGTATTTTAGTGGAGAATGTGTAGAAATTCTAACAATATTGAAAAAGTCGTTCCTTGACACCGAAAAGTGAGAAAAACTCCCTAAAACAAATTGGTATTCTTGATTTTCGTCTTATTTTGGCCCCTAGAATCTCCCATTAAAATTTTTCCCAGAGGTGGCCAAACACCCTGTATACGAAAGGAAGTAAAACACTTCTCTAAATACAATTTTGGCGGTGGATCAGTGATGATTTGGGCGTGCTTCTCAATCCATGGCAAAAGTTCCATAAGTTTTATTTCAAGTAAAATGCAGAGCATGGATTACGCAAATATGTTAGAAAATTATTTAAAACCCTTTGATGCAGAAAACGATGATCAAAATTTAATTTTTATGCACAATGCAGCGATTCATAGATCAACCCATACGTTGAACTGGTTTGCAGAAAATAATATACCTCTTTTAAACTGTTCTACACGTTCCCCTGATGTCAACTCTATTGAAGATTTGTGGGAAATTTTAGTTAGGCGCATCTTTTGCAATAATCAAAAATTTGCGAATGTACAAGAATTAAAACTTGCAATTATTGAAGCCTGGAATAATATAGATAAAAATATTATAAAAAAACCTTATTGCAAGTATTCAAAATCGAATTTTCGATATAATTCGTAATGGTGGAAACGTAATAAATTATTAAATTTTTGTTTTCGTACATAAGATTTAAAATAAAATGAGTTTTGTTTATAATTGATATATTTATGAAACACAGATTAAACAGTATTTTCATAATTTAAGTTATTAATCACAACAAACAAATGGAACTGCTTTTGAATATTTATTTTTATAGTATTATCAAGGAATAGAAACTACTATTATAGCTTAATTTAATTCCAAAAGATCAAATTCCTTACATTTTAAGGGGTTGGTATATTTATGATACGCACTGTAGTTACTGAATTTTGTACGATGCAAATGAGTTAATCCATAGCCATCATTTTGTTTTTGTATTCAAAATAATATACAGTAACAAAAATAATTTTTTATTCAATATTTGCATGTAGAATACAAAAGAAACAAAATACTTAGTATTATCTACAATCCTTCTGCTTTTCAAAACAAATTTAATATTTGTGATATCATTATTATTTCGCTTCGTAGAATTTTTGTTTGTGTAGTCGGTTTTGCACCTCAACTAATTTTGAGTAAACATTTCAGATTTTGGTACACTCAATATTTCATCCATAAACCTTCAACCTGGATAATTACTTCAATACATTTAAACATACTTAATATTACATTTTCGCAATACTCTGGTGCAATAGAATAGCATCAATATGATGTCATGAAACCATTTCTAAAGATATAAAGAATAATATCATTTTCCAATCAAAATTGAGTTTATCAATGCAAGTAATTATTAGAAAATTTGCTGTCAGTCAGGAAGTTGTACATAAAATACGGAGAAAATGTAATGAAGTCCCAGCATCTTTTGGAAGCCATTCAAAATTACTATCTTGTCAGAACAAGAGAAGATTGACAAGATATGTTACTTCAGAAATTGCAACAATAGCATCAATGACTGCAAAGCTATTAGAAAGTGATATTGGAAAGGACACTAATAAGTGGACAGCTCGAAGAGCATTAAAAGAAACCAATTTTACAGCAATTGAGAAGAAAAAATATCTACCCTATCAAAAAAGAATGTCAAGGCTCGACTGAATTTTTCAAAAAAACATTTAAGCTGGAATATGGAGCAATGGACAAAAAGGAATTATTTCCAACTAATCAAAAATTATTGTTGGTGTTGGAAAAAGCAAGACGAATCTCTTTTACCGTGCCATCTGAAGCAAACAATTAAATTTGGTGGTTGTTCACTTACAGTATAGGGATGTATTACTGCGTACGGTGTAGGTTCAGCACATTGAATAGAAGGTACGGTGAACTAGTATATGTATAAGGATATTTTAGAAAAAAATTTACTAGAAACAATTGAAAATATGTTGGTACTAGAGTGTGATGTTGTATTCCAACATGGCAACACTCCTAGGCATTGTGCGAATAGCATGAAGAATGGCCTGCTTAAGGCCCAGACATAAACCCGATTGAAAATGTCTGGGCATACTTAAAAATGAAATTGAAAAATAAATATAGTACTCTCTCAATAACGATAACTGATTCGTGTCATAGAGTACAAGAACAATGGTATTTTATTACACCAGAGTATCACGAAAATGTATGAAGTATATGTAGCCCTTCTACAACACGGCATCCTATAACATGATTCATAAATTGCGAGAACCCTCCTACAACACGGCATCTGATAACACGGTTTCGTTTTAACATAATAAGAAAATTGCGAAAACCTTTGTACAACACTGTACTTCTACAGCACTGGATAATATGATTTTTGCTTAACAAATTTAAAAACTAAATTACCTCAAAGTAATGACGCGAAGGAATAATGAACTATAGTGGCTTTACATGAAAATATATAAACAAATTATAATTTATTAAATTAAGGTTGTGTTAAATTAAAATAATATCTTTTGTTTTGTGTTGTACTGTTGTTATATTGGAATACAATGTTGGTATCACTTGTAAGAATGTCAATTTTGGCAGCACTGTTACAAACTGTATACTATATTTAAAAAGTACGTTGTGATAAATTGATAACTGGAAAACGTGTCTGACTGTGTGAAATCCTTCTACATCCACGTATATAAATACTGAGTGCATATTCTAAACTATCATATACATACATTTATATTTTTCATAAAAATTAAGTTACTTATGTAGAATTAAAAAAAATATTTGTTTTTAATAAATTTTCGGAACGTAACCCCCCTTTTTGTACTGGCTTTGGGTCTCATATAACACGGTTTCACACAACATGGCATTTTCTAGGAACCTATCTACCGTGTTATAGGAGGGTTACCTGTATGTCTAAACATACTGAAGCAATTATCAAGGTTAAAGGTTTATGAATAAAATATCAAGTGTACCAAAATTCGAAATGTTTACTGAAAATTAGTTGCGGTGCAAAACTGACTACACGAAAAAAAAATTGTACGAAACGGAATAATAATGGTATCACAAATTTTAATTTGTTTTGAAGAGCCAGAAGATTGTAAATAATACTAAGTATTTTGTCGTTTTTGTATTCTAGTATGCGAATATTGAATAAAAAATTATTTTTTTTTAAATGTCGTATGTGTGTTCAGTTTTGCTCCTTACTGTACAATTACCTTTGATATGACGTTTTATCCGAAGATCCGTGAACGTTCTCTCTTTCCCAAAATACGAAAACCTATAGACGTAATTGGGCGTGGACGTTCTCTTCACGCGATCCTCGATGTATAATTTCAACGGGATTCCGAAATAAATATCTGTTATGAAGTGCATAAATCTGAGTAGTTTGTCCGTGGTAATTGGCTTCCCATTGAAATATCGATCCTTGATGCACTGGAATAATTCTTCGATCTCCGTTGGTCCTAAGTTTTTCAAATCCCCTAAGATTTTTACGTACTCGGGCAGATAATAATTATAAGTTTTGATCGCGTCTATTCCTTGCTCTGAAAGAAAGAAACAAATAAAATGAATACGACCAACTCTTTCAGCCGTTGAAATATTCTGTTGGAGAAAAATCACCATAGAAAAACATAATGCCTTCGTACGACACAAGTCCGCTCATAATGGGAATATTAATATCGTTCGACCATAATTGTTCGATCGGTGCTGGTAAAACGGGATTTTCGGCTATTTCGTCATAATTCACGCCAAACGGCATGTTAAAGATATTCATTTCCTGCAAAACAATAAAAGAAACTTGAGTTGATATGTTAGAATGAGTTGTACGATTGTCGTGGGACGCAGTAATGAGAAAACATTTTTTGCCTGTTCAGTGAGAATGGAAGAAGTAGCTTTGGTGATATCCTTATCGGACAGCTTTCGCAGCATTTCGACAACTTCCTCGGGGTCCGTTGACTTTATTCCAAGAAGTGACGCAAGCTTGAAACCGCGCTCTGGACGACTTTGGTCGAAACCCCAGGGACACGTCAAGAATCCACTTTGTAAGATCGTTTTATGAAAGAGTCCTGAAGAAAGAGAAGAAAATTTCGTTCATCAGATTATTATTCGCTATTTGGTTGAAAAACTGCCAGCCACAGACCACACTTAAACAGAGTGTTCGGCCACTTCCGGGAAAAGTTTTAATAAAAATAAGACGAAAATCAAGAATACAAATTTGTTGGTCGAGGCTTCGTTAAAAAGTTATTAACGTTTAAAGTTCCGCCTGTAGAACGGCAATCTGCGAACAGCTGCGTAGGCGCGATAGTGGTTATCACTCAGAAAACTGTAAGGCTGCTGATAAGTCTGTAAGTAGTGTTTCTCATGCTGAGTGAGAACCACTATCGCGCGTACGTAGCTGTTCACAGATTGCCGTTCTACAGGCGGAACTTTAAACATGAAAATCTTTTTAACGAAGCTTCAATTAAGAAATTGGTATTCTTGATTTTCGCCTCATTTTGGCCTCTAGAATCTCCCAATAAAATTTTCCCCAGGGGTGGTCAAATACCCTGTATGTAGTAAACTTGTTCGATGCAGCGCATACTTACAATCGCGTACAAATTAAATATAGTAAATAGCCCGACTGTTGTGTATTTCTTTTTTTTACGGGTAGAGCAATGCTATATTTTTTATGCCAAGTTATGGAAGAACGTCGAATCCTGAATTTATTTTTCATTAACATTGAACAGTTTATTTTAGTTTTTACCGAATAACCATAGTAATACACAAAATCATAAAAATAAGGAATTTACAAATACAATAATGCAGAAATTCGAAAACCTTGCACAGAAATATGAATTAACGAAATTCAAATTCGGTTCAAAATGGATCCGGAGTCAAAATGGCTGATATAAATTGATAAATGTACCTTTTGCTTTTGGCGATACAGTTAAAGCATGAGCTAATACACCTCCAGCGCTCTGGCCGAAAATCGTGACATTGTTAGGGTCGCCTCCAAATTTGGCAATATTCTGTTTGACCCATTGCAAAGCTACAATTAGGTCTTTTAGGCCCTGGTTTCCGGGCGCGTCTCGATGCCCCAAATTCAAGAAACCTTTAAAATTGCAAGTGTTACGATTCGGTGTTAATGTCGCTCGATAAATGAAATAAAATTTAGTTATTGATTTCAAAGCAATAGTCCAACTAACCGAATGCTCCCAATCTATAATTAGCTGCGACTATGACGACGTCTTTCTCAAGTAAGTAGTCAGGCCTTATCAGTCTGTAACTTGCAGTTCCTGCTACGAATCCGCCGCCATGAATCCAAAACATGACTGGCTTTGATTGACTAAGAGAATTTGTATAAACATTGAGATAAAGACAATCCTCTTCTCCGATAATATTGTAAGGTGGATAGTCTACTGCTTGTGTACAAATTTTCCCGGTACACACGGTGGCGTTTCTTATACCCGTCCATAGTGCAGGTGGTAGTGGATCCTATTTTACGAAAATGTACATTTTCGGTTGAATTTTGTCTTTGAAATCATACGCGAAAATCATACTGCCCTATAGGGGCTTTATACGAAAGTCGTTTAAAAAGTTGATGCTCCAACCTTAAGCGTTACTGCGTTACTCGGGACCGAAGAGGTCATACTTATCGAAAAGGGACCACGTTCTTTGCGTTTTGCCAGGTAGTCAGCAATATATTGACGTTTTTGTTTAGATTCATATTTATCGTTAGCCAGAATCTGGCGTGTATTCTGTCGCTTCTTTTTTAAACATTTGATCCGTAATATGAAAAATCCTTACCGCGAAAACGACACGACTCAAAAGAGAACAACTTGCAAATCGTGACTATAAAGTAGCCTGCATACATTAATAATTGAGTTATAGAACTCGTAATTATTATTTCTTGGCAATTTTCGTTCAATTTAATTAACGTAAAGGTATGAGTATACGGGGTATCCAAGCTGAAGCAGGCCAGCTAAATATTTCCTTCGCTTTTAATGATAACATTTGAATGGTTTCTAAAGAAGAATCTTGTGAAAGAAAATTTTATAAATGAAAAGATGCATTTGGGTTTCTCTAATGTATGTCCTTCGCGTGACCTTGAGCACTCTAAATCGGTCCTATAGAACTTGAGCTATCACCACAGACGAGGTATACGAGTAGACCTTTCACCTTATGGATTTTCGCGGCCCAATCTGACTGCCATACCGACCTGAAAATTCGGAGGTGATTGCACAGACGAGATATATGAATAGACCTTTCACGTAATGTAATTTTTCAGCCGGAGTTTCTGGGGTCCCGGGACCCCATTACCATTTTCGTGTCACTCGCAACGTTATCAACAGATTCAGAAATTAACACAAGAGGAAGTGAGACAGAAAATAAAATTACATAAATTTTATTATTTTTTAACGGAATTAAAGCTGTAGGGTCTATCATTGGACATTAATCGATTAATTTCATTGGAGAAATCAATCGATTAAGAGTATTTAAAAATTTCAAGATTATTAAAATTCCTAAGGATGTATTTCATTGATACGTACACCGCAAATTCTCTATTTTTTATTTTAAATTGTAATACATCATTTATTAAAAAAATAACTCGGCAGAAACGTATTTGTGACTCGAAATCAGTTTAATCAGACTGCATCGGGGCCCCGGAAACTTCTCATTCCTCACTTTCGCACACTATGCCCAATTGTGTGTACGTGAGCTCGTTGAGTTTCGGAGGAGCCGAGAAGAACAGGCTGATACTCGCTTTCCTTCTCGCTCTTGCATCGCTGACGTCGCTTACATTTCTCGAAAGCAAGCCTGCTGGCATCGCCACCCGTTCGAATCGTCAGTAAACGACAAAAGCCATCGTGACTGACAGACCTTACATTTCTCGTAATCGGACCTGGGCGCTTTTTGAAGATTCATTGACTTTCCATACGAAGCGACCATGCGTTATATACATATACATGTTATACATGCTAGGAACTATAAGTTGTATAACTTACGTCGTATATCTACTTTCTAATAACATGGGAAAATTTTAATATATAAAAAAATGTAAGAATACTGTAGAATTTTTGCAATAGAGAATTATTGAAGGAAAATGAATTGATTATATACATATGTATATATCGGACACATCCCTCGCAAACACGCTGCAAACATTAATGAGAACAAAACTGCAAATCTGTCCTTTTTTAAAACCCCGTAACGGATCTTTGACTCGGAACTCGTCCTCTTCATTTAGCAATTATAATAAACGTAGACTCATTAGAATTCGTAAAAATAACAAAGTTATAGCCATTTAGAGGGAAGAGTACCCAACAGTTAATAATCATACCAGAAATTTTAAATGAGTTTTTCTCGAAACCATACTTTCGAAATTGGCTGACATGATATCACAAATTCATATTGATTGATGGATTTGAAATTTATAGAGACATGCCTGTATGTTAGAAATTTTGCCTTTGACGGTTCTGGGGTAAGTCCGTTCCTCACAGTGCTCTTACCGGAAAGTCCCACGCCGTCCCCACTCCGTGGCCAGATCCTTCAGGACAAAATCTTTATTTTTTCCAGCAGTACGACGTCAGGTCGTCTGCCTCTTTTAACTACTCTCTCTCTCTATTCATAAACAATCAATGCCTCGACACGCGCTACCTGGAGACCCAACGCGGTCGTCCGCTATCGCGTCACCCGTTTCCAGGCCTGTTTAGTCTCATTCGCTCTTTAGGCCGCATGCACCCCAAAACTCTGTCATAAATGTATCGTAGACTGGGCGTCCTTCACTGGCCCTTACCTTTGACTCTCTTGGAAAATATATTGCTGCTAGCGTCTCTGGAAAACAAAAACCGATCCCCTATTTCGGGGGAATGTCCACGCGTCGCGTCCAACCATTGTTGCCGTAGCGAAATCGACTGTTTTGCCTTCGCCTTCGAAAAAGATTAAGCAAAAGAGTTTCCTTCATTGAAAGAAGAAAAATTTTCCAGTCTTTCATTTTCAGTAGGGGCGGTCTCAAATTCCATTCATTTTCGTATGATTGATTTTTATGAGTCAGCGTTTTTTTAAATTGCTAAACAAAGAGGACAAATAGGGCAGTATTTTAAAATTTTTTCAGATTTAAAAATTTAAAATAATATTGAAATTCATTTGGTTGTTCAGACCCAATTGTATTAATAGTATAAATATATGAACGCACGTCCATTAGCATAGTAAAAAAATGTCTTTTTTTTAATAGTTAAAATATGATCAGGGGGTCCGAAAACGTCTATTTCCGTAAAAAAATTTTTGAAATTTTTGTTTCAGTATGGTTTTTGCTTATATACGCCTACATAGGTCGGAAAGTCAAAAATGCCTGGGCAGTCGAAAATCTCGGCTCGAGATTATGCGACATCGAATTTCAGCTGTGTTGAGAGCAAGAAGGATAGACTCACATTCGCCGCCTTTCTCGAATCCACGAAGCTATACGAAACGCCAGAACTCATATACAAGGTGGTTGGCATTAGTGTGTGTAAGTGGAGGGGCAGTTCCCTTTGGGCACAGGTCTGCCGTCTGATCATACTGCACTGTCTTTTTCAATCCCTCCCATAGTCAACTCACATGTATTTACATGTATCTACATATTCTACGGTGCTACGATCACCACAGACGAGATATATGAATAGACCTTTCACCTTATGGACTTTCGCGGCCGAATCTGACTGCCATACAGTGTGGCCAGATCGGGCATAATTGAGTGCATCGAAATCGACAACAGTGACGACGAACTTCCTTAGCGTCTAACGGAATGGTGGGGATAGCAGGCATACACTACCGCACAAGCCACGTGTACGTGAGCTCGGCACTTTGCACAACTTCGGCAAATCGATAAAGAACGCTAGTGTGAGCCTTTCCTTCTTGCTCTTGTAAACGACAAAACAACTGAAATACGACCTCGCGATAAGTGGCATACGATTCCAAGTCTCGACTGCCCCAGCATTTTTACTTTCCGACCTATATGTAAGGTATAAGGAAATTTATAAAGTATCATAATGAAAAAAAATTTCGAAATTTTTTTTTAGCGGGAATACACGTTTTGGGACCCCCTGATCATATTGTGACTATTGAAAAAAACGATATTTTTTTTTGTTCCTATGCTATTAACATGAATGCATTAAACGACTAAGTGAATTTCAATAACGAAAAAAATATTTCGAAATTTTTTTTTAGCGGAAATACACGTTTTAGGACCCCCTCATCATATTGTGACTACTACAAAAAAACATATTTTTTTTTTGTTCCTATGCTATTGACATGATTGCGTCTAAACGGCTGAATGAATTTCAATGAAACTTAACATTTAAGTTTTATGTTCTCGTTTTAAGGTCTCATTATATTTTAAGCGTGATCAGCTCCCATATAATGATGATTATACGTTTTTAGTTTTATAATTATTTCGATAGATACACATCATTTGTAACAAATTTTTAAAGCGATTTATATAAATCTTAAGAAGGATTAAGATCAAATATATTTTTCTCCTATCTTCCCTAGACAGGAAAAATTAAACGAAATCTTATGCCTTGCATACCTACCTAAACCACATGAAAAACGTATTCCACAAATATTTTAGAATAATGTTGTTCAAAGCAGTCTTACTCGTAAAGGGTTAATTAAGGGTTAATTAAAATGAAAAACCACTCTTAGCCAGTACCGTGCACGCTACAGAAATAGATTACTACTGACTTTTCCCACTATGTTTTTTAATAACCGTATCAAATTGTTACACACAATCAAATGTTATATATTTGACTTAACTTTACATAACAAAATAATTGTAACGATAGGTAAAACAATAACGTGCACGCTACCGTTCAATGGAAACCACGGGAAGGTGGTGGTCACTTCCATCAGGAGGGAAATGTAAAAAATTGTTATTTCTTTGTAACATTATCACATGCCATATATTAGAACGTCTATATTCTTCTTTCCTTTTTTTTTGATTCCCCTCTAAATTCATTTCTGCAAAATGAAATATATTAAATTGACGTCTATATACTGCTATTCATTCAATAGAACTTTATTTCTAATTATTGCCTTTTAAAAACCTATGGGAACTGTGCTATATATATCTACGTCCTTTCTTCGTCCGGGCATTTCAACGGCCCATCGATGCGCGAGCAGTATAAACAAAACACTATCGCCACGTGCTCGAGCCACTTCTGTTTCTCTTGAGTCAGTTGAATTCGGTCGACGAGGACGAACATCAGGACAAATTTAAAGGTACGTGCCGTAGGTCATTCTGAGATATTTAAATTGAAAAAAAAAACAGCGGACAGTCAAAAATTTGTCCCTGCATTTTGTTGCAAGCTTTGTCATAAAGGACGAGTGTCGCCCTGTCATGACAGCAGCGTTGTCACATGACAACGCGACAATATTTTCGAACGGAATTTCTCTTTCTATCATGGCAATTTCAAATGTTTTAAATAAATTATCTGCGCCACAATTTCTGGCATCAA